TTATCTGGGCATCAGGATCTCCCTGTCCTTCCTGCCTTACCATCAAAGCCTCTCTTTCCTTCCAGGGTTTAAGTAAGTTAACATGATACATTTGGTAGGGTTTTCTCTTAGAGGGCTGGAAGACCTTATAGTTAACCGTCCCTACTTTCTCAACAATCTCAAAAGGTCCCTGCCATTTTGCCAGAAACTTACTTTCCACAGTGTGCACTAACACCAGCACCCGATCACCAGGTTGAAACTCTCTAACCTTGGCAGATCGATTGTACAAGCGACTTTGAGTTGCCTGTGCAGCCTGCAAATGCTCCCTGACTATGGGCATTACATTCGCCATTCGGTGCTGCATTTGTGCAACATGCTCCGATAGGGCGTGGTTTCTTGCTCCCAAGTCTCCTTAACTATGTCCAGTAATCCACGGGGGTGTCTTCCACACACTAACTCAAATGGTGAGAACCCCGTGGATGCCTGGGGTACCTCTCGTATGGAAAACAACAGATGGGGCAGTAAAAAATCCCAGTCCCAGCCATCCTTCTCAACCACTTTCTTAACCCCTTTAGGGTTTTGTTAAATTGGGGCCGTTATTTGGCAGGTCGGACAAGACTCACAGAAGTCCTTAATTTCCCGGTACACTCCAGGCCAAAAAAAACATTGTAGAAACCGTTCCTGAGTCTTAACCGCCCCAATATGACCCCCAAGCACATGAGCATGAGCCAACTGTAACACGGTGCGCCTAAAAGGCTTGGGTACCACCAGTTGTTCAATCACTTCATCATTTTCCTTTGTTACCCTGTACAGTAAATCAGCATGTACAGCAAAATGTGGGAACTGATCATTCGCCCCAGGTTGCTGGGCTTCACCATTTAACACAGTGACCTGGTCTCTGGCAGGGATAAGAGTGGGGTCCCTCATCTGAGCACCCAGAAAATCTTCCCGGGAAACCTCTAGGTCACCGAGGTCTGGCTCAGGGGAAGAAGCCTCCACTTCTAGTCCTGTAAACACTTCTAAGGGACCCGGGTCAGACTCAATAAGTACAGGTGTGTCATCCTCCTTTTTAGGGGAGGATTCAGAACCCTTTACCTTTTGTTCATACAAGTCCCAGAACAGGGGGAAGTCACGTCCAATCAACAGGTCATGGTGCAACCCCGGCATCACCCCAACTTTCAACGAAGCAGTTACCACTGAGGTAGACAGGGTTACAAGAGCTACAGGGTAGTCTTTGACATCACCATGCACACAAATCACCCCCACATATTCTTAGGGATCAGCTTTCCCTGCAATTTGTCTGCTCTAAGCAGGGTTACGACACTTCCAGAGTCAAGGAGGGCAACAACCTCCCTCCCATTAACGTGCACCACTCTCTCATGCGGTTTTTCGCTGGTGGACACAGAAGCTGCATAGCCATACAGGGAGCGGTGCCAGCTCACGTCACACTCCATTGGCTCCTCTCGCTTTGGACACTGGGCCGCCAGATGACCCAGTTGATGGCAGGTCCAACAACGCATGTCACGGGGTCCTCTTTCCAGGGGCAAGTTCCCGGGGGGTTAGATGCCGCGGTGCCTTTATTATGAATAGCCCGCACCCGAGCAGACACAGTGCGTATGTCTGTGGACATCCTTGTACCAGGGCGCTCCCCTCTGATTGGTGCAGGTTCCCCAGACAAACCCTCAGCACAGGTGTATCGCTCTACTGCTGTAGCCATCTCATCCAGGGTTTAGGGTTCTGTCTGGGTCACCCAACGATACAGTCCCTTGGGGAGGCCATGCACAAAGCGGTCCAGGGCAACCCGCTCCACGAGCTGCTGTGGGGAAAAGTTTATCCGGCTGTAACCAGTCCTTCAGGAGGTGCAGCAGGGCAAACAACTGTGCACGGGCAGGCTTGGCCTGGTCATAGCGCCAGGCATGGACCCGGCTTGCCCTTAAAGTAACAGTCACCCCCATTCTGGCCAAAATCTCTGCTTTCAACTGCGTATAAATGCATGTGGTTTCAGGGGCCAGATCAAAATATGCTTGCTGGGACTCACCCATTAAGAAAGGGGCCAGTACATCTGCCCAGTCCACCTCAGGCAGTCCTTCACGTGTGGCCATTCGCTCAAAGAGGGAAAGATAAGCCTCCACACTGTCTGCTGGAGTCATCTTTTGCAGAGCCTTCTGCACAGCCTTCCGAGGGTTACTTGGTGTTTCTCCAACCTTTTGGACCCTTCTGATTTGCTGTGTCACTGTGGTTTGTAATGCTGCGATCTGTTCAGCCAGCAGGCGATTGGTCTCCTGTTGTGCTGCAACTGCCTGTGCACTGATCTGCTGTTGAGCCACTGCCTGTGCACTGATCTCCTGTTGTGCTGCAACTGCCTGTGCACTTATCTGCTGTTGAGCCACTGTGGCTTGTACTAGGCGCTTAACCAGTTCCTCCATTTCTTTTCCTGGGGGTTGCAACGCTTGTGCAGTCTTTACACAGGACATCCGACTGGCGTGTACCCCTCAAAGTGCCCGTATTGTCCACCAATTGTGGGGAACCCCAGGGGTACACATGCATCTTCAACACAGTCCGATATAAATAAACAGTTTTTATTTCATCCAGCGGTAACAGAACAAACAGCTTTCTTCAGCAAAAGGGTAAAGTAAAAGGCTTTCCTCAGCAAACATCAAATATAAAGATAAAGTCCTTCAATAAGATTGCACTGCGTAGAGCGTTTAGGTGATCTCACCAAGATAGAGTCAACTTGCTTCTGAGCAGCCACACACACACAGGCCTTTCTGTCTGTCTCTTAGCTTCCCCCCTCCTCTCTTACCTGTGTTACCTTTTAACAGGTAGGGCTGTAGGGGAAGTACCTGCCCTCCCAAGTTAACCCCTTCTTTGCTCTCAGCCATGCTGACTCTCCACAATAGTCACTTATTAATTTAACAGCATCACTTCCTGTGCGGCAGCCGTTTGTGCAGCTTCCCTCGCACTTTACGCACACCTGCGCACTATGGCATGTTTCCCGAGATTGTGGCCGCCATTTTTCCCTTACATTACCACTGTCCAACTCTTAACACTGATTTCCTGATTGGTGCAAAAGGTCACATCACTTGTGAACACTTGCCAAAATGTGTAATAACATGTAACACCTGTTTCAGCACATCTTATCTCACCGATAGAAGTGTGGAACTTGAAGAATGTGTCAACTGTTGAGGCATGTAGCACTCCTCACCACATAGGAAGTTATTATACTGTATAACCTTGTCGGCATATAACCTTGTTCATCTAAGTTTCTGAAATTGGCCATCCAACCTGACCAAGAAGCTAACATAGACCATGACTGTCTGCAAACAGGTACTCACTACAAATGTAGAACTGCTCATTCAGCCCTGAGCACATCTGACATCTTCAGAAGTAGCTGTAGCTTCCTTCATTCTCAGCAGTCAGTGGTAAACAATTTCAAATAAAATATGAGGCATAAGCCAATACTTAAAATGCAAATGTGCTTTAAAATTCAGTGCGTGTTACTTTAGAACTTGAAGCATTGTTGCTTAATATTTAATTTATTCGTAATTGCCATTTTTGAGAGATTGATATTGAAATGTCAGCAGAAGTGCATGCACACCCATTGTATTGAAACATCAGCTTTCAATCACTAATGACAGTAATCAAAGTGGGGGACAGAACTTTATCACTGCCATGGTAAATGTCGCAAAAATAATGTGAAGGCTGATCTTTAAAAGCTTGCATACAAGAATAACCTTTGTCTATGACAACAGTTGGTGACTTGTATTTCAACAGCTCGCTGCTGACAACTCTTCCAGTAAGGCTAACAGAGAGTTTATTAGAATAGCTGCACACAGTGCTCTAGGGAAATGGGATTGAATTGTTGTGATACTGACTTAGTGACATGGCTGTATTTACCATGAAGCACAGTAGGCATGTAGGCATTCTGTCGAATTATTTCCCACAATTTTTTGTTCATCATCAGTAGGAATAGTTATATCATATAAGCCCATTTATATTATATCACAGTCAGGCTATCACAAGGTCAGGAAAACATGGAACTATCCAAAGTTAAAAAAGATGAAGCTGGTATAAGTGCCTTTCAGAAGAGCAGCTAGACTGCAGCATTCGGATACAGCTAAACTCCACATCTGGACACAGAAGCCATCTGTGCTAAGGCCAAAAACAAACTGGGCAATTAGATGCAACCAGAACCACCACCAGTTTGCATCCAGGGCCAGTTAGAAGCCCTCGTCGCATGTAACTGCTGGTATGATGTAACATTGATTTGTACAGGGTACAAATCTGGCCATGCAGACTACTTGCCCCCAACTGTTCACACAAGATGTGCATGGCACTAGTTTCTCTGATGGAAAAAATTGCAGATTCTGAAGCCTAAAGGTGTAGGAAAGGTGTACGTTTTCCACTACAGGTTCAAGTGATGAAAATTCAGCCATGCTTAAAGAGTTAGTTGGTCAATAGTCCAGCACTGTGACCCAAAGTACAGCTTATGCTTGGGAATGTATGGTTCTCAATATAACAGAGATGTCAACCTAGGGCCATAAGGTATCAAAGGGTGGTGAGGCAAAAAATAGGCATGACTCATTTTTATTTATAGCGCAGTTTATTAAGATTTTTTTAAAAATTCCAAACCGGGAATACAGAGAATACACTGATATGATATGAGTACAAGTACAATTTTTGGTCAGTTTGGTGCGTTGGCCAACCTATTTAAATGAATGGCCTGCCCGTACACAATACACATGAATGTGTAAACCAATGCACATTAATGCACTGGAGCAGATCGAACTGGTGTGAATGGGCCCTCAGTTCTGGAAACTACTACTAAAAGTAGATAGGTTACAGTGGCCATCACTTTCACCTTTCCTTTCTGTTACTGCCTAAATAATACCTATGCTCATCATTCTTTCGGAATCTGCATTTTCACCAGTAGGATTATATTTTCTTAGCTTTTCTCTGTACTGTCATATTTTTTCTACAATCTATTGCAATAAATCTCTTTATGGAACTTTTGTTTTTAGATCCCTCAAAGGAAACCGAATACGTAGGCTACCAGATAATGCTTTCCTGGGATACAAAGATTTGGCAAAACTGTGAGTATAGAATGAATGAATAAGATAAAAAATGCTTTCAGGGATCTAGACCTTGAAACACTCATTTAAGGATAATCAACTACCTGTTTGATTTGCCAGTCCAGGTTTCACACAGGTTATCTTTAATGAATATCCTCCCCTGGAGTTGAAGTCTGCTTATTAAATACAGATTACCTTTGACAAACTCATTCTTCTCAAAAAGGAAAATAGACTTTTGCATGGAGCCCTAGGAATAAAACACAAATTGCAAAGATCATCCTGATGGATGCCCAGTCTCTCACAGATTTGGGAGCTCCTTCAGTATCCAAGATGTCTGAAGAGAGAACTATTCTTGCTGCCCCAAATTACCAATCAGATTCCCCATTTTATAATAGGCTAGAAGAACAGTTCTTATTTTAGTTACTTTTGTTCACAAATCAGTTTAAATGTTTTCAGATTACAGAATACACTGGCTGGAAATTAGCTATAAGGCCTGGTTCACACCTGGCCGTTTTACAGCGCATATTCGATACGCCTAGGTGTGAACCCAGCTTAAAGGCCAGTACTATATCATCTTCTATCCTGCTGACCAGGTAGCCCTCGGAAACTTACTGAATGAATGTTCACTGAACTTTATAATTAAGGTAAAGCTGTATTCACTTTCAGTATCCAATCATGTGTATGCAGTATTTTTCTTGCACATGGATGGATGTGCCTGTCTTAGTGAACAATCTTTATTCTTTTAACAAATTAACTCCCTGGAGTGGGAAGGCAGCAGCAGGAACATATACCACAATATTTAAAGTTGTAAGGTCTCTGAGATACCATTCCTAATATAAACATTGTTTAAATTTACTTTCATGAGCTCCATTTAAACTGAGTTTCTATTTAGATTCAAGTTGATACCAGTTATTCAGAACCTGTTCAAATAAAATCAATAAAAGACAAAAAAAGACATAATTCAATTTATTAAAATGGGTTTTTTTTTTTAAATTATACTTGTATTTATTCGGAAACCATTTTACTTGTGAAACATACAGTATTGTCCTTTAAATCTTGGGCACTGCAATATACAATTTGTAATACTGTCTAGTGAAGTCTGAATGAATAACAAGCTAAGATTACAGGACAAAAATCAGGAATTGGAAAGAATTGTGCATAAACCAATCTTAAGTACAACAGCATGCCAGCTAAAGCTATTTACTGCAATTAGGAATCAATTAGTGATTGGATTGTGATTAGTGATGGACTCGATGTTCGAATCGAACGTGAGTTCGACTTGAACATCGGTAGTTCCTTGTGTTTGGCGAACACACGAACTGTCAGGGCATTCCGCAGGCTGTTCGCCCACCGAGCGACTTCAAATCATCTGGGAATTGGTGCTGACACTGTCCTTCCTTCTGGAGGGTGGCTACTTTTGTTCCCCATTGTACGTTGTAAAGTAGCGACCACTCTAAGCTCAATCCCATGATGAACTACAATCTAACGTTGAGTTTACAAATTTGTATTGAGATTGTAGTCCATCACAGAAGTGAGTATGAAGCAGTCGCTACTTTACAACACACATAGTAAACATGGGGAACAAAAGTAACCACCCTCCAGAAGGAAGGACAGTGTCAGCACAAAATTACACATAATCAACTATGAGTATGGCCAGCTTAAACTCCTTTAAAAAAAACTTATAGGCATTTGCTGTTTAAAGTAATTTAAAAAAAACATTGGCCTTGTCAAATAACATTTTTTAAAAACACAATTTCCATATTCACATTAAACAGCAAGACAAGCAAAGATTCAAAAATTCAAACCCTTTATTGTTGGTTATGTGTTTAGATGAAGCACTGAGATTGCTGAATTGAGTTTTACTTGCATAGGAGAACATAACATCAGAATACAGCATTATACAGCATACAGTGGGAACTTCCTGTATATATCATTTTCAGGGGGGTACGGCTGGGCCGTAAGTGGAACCCCTTGGCAGGGGCAACAAGCCAAAAGTCAGAGTTCGAGCTACACAGGGGAAATCCAAGAAGAATAGTCAGGTCCAATCTGGGTCGAGGCAGGCAGCTAGTTTCGGTAGCGGAACGGTAAGCCAAAGAGTCGGTAATCGGGAGTCCAAGGTTCAGGAAGAGAGACGAGTTCAAGGCACAGGGAGCTGGGAGATCACATCATAGGGATAGAATAACTCAGCAATGAGCCAGGGCTCTGACTGGGATTGTATACCCAGTGGGGAACTGAGGCCATTCCCCGGTTACAGAGGCAACCAGGTAGCTTCTCCATCAAGAGCCAATGGCGAGAGAGAGGCAGAGGGTGTGCGCTGGGAACCTCCCCCAGCAAGGATCACACCTGACACCAGTAACGGGCGCAGGCGCCGTACGTGCGAGTCCCTGCGCACACGCACTCCTGGCACCAGGGGTCCTGCCAGGAAGGGGAACCCATGCCCCCCGCCGCACATGGCAACCCTGAGGAGATGTACCCTGACAATCATAGATAAACATGCACACAAAGACAAGCAAAGACTAGCATTGCACTACAGCGCCACATAAAGACATAATTACACAAGTAATACAATCATATATATGCTGTTGTATTTCCAACACCGCTTATCAGCATATGCGTTGCTATATGACATTTTCGCTTCTCTCGAAGGAAACTGTAATGATCCTTTGGAAATGGCTTGGTGAGTGCATCCGCAGTCAATTCTTCTGATGAGCAATATTGAATGTCGATAATGGTGATGATAGTGTCCAGGTTTTATTTTCTTGGATTGATTTTATTTCTTCTGCTGCCTTTCTCCATTGATTGGCTTTGCATTTTGGTAATTTGTCTATGTCTTCCCACGGTGTTGGTTTGAGTATGCTATGTGTATTAGCAGTATTCAACAGCTTGCAATATCACTGATATTTACCGGTCCCCCGCTCTGCCACGCACAGAGCCGCTGTCATCCTGAAACTGACAGTGCTCGCACACCCCTAAGGCCGGCCCTGCAAGATGGTATTCCCTTTGTTGCTCAAGTGCATCTTCTAATTTCAGGTTGTTCAGCAGATTTTAACATGGCACTCGACTTTATCCATTGTGAGTTCCACCTCTTGTTGTGACTCCTGTGCGGCTTTACTTTGCTCAGTTTCCTTTGCTGGTTCACTGGGCAAATTCACTTCACAACTTCCAGGGATAATTTTTTCAGGTTCTCGTCAAAATAAATGCTGTGACTTAAAGTGACATTAAACCCTCAGATTTTTTAACATAAAACAATACTGTAATGTGGGCCTTACTGTAATCCATGGTAGTTTCCCTTCTCTTTGCTGCTCTTCCTTTTAAATCTGTATCTGTTCTCATGCTGGGCAGAACTTCTGTTTTGCAGCAGACTGCCTTGTCTTAGGAATGGATATATGGTGTCTGTGTGTAGGTTTGTAACCTGAGCCAGCACTACAGGAAGAGGCCATGAGCTGCAAAGGGAAGTTCTCCCCAAGCATGAAAAGTCATGAGGATTTAAAAGGAAGAGCAGCAAAGAGAAGGGAAACAACCATGGATTACAGTAAGGCACACATTACAGTATTGGTTTATGTTAAAAAATGTGAGGGTTTAATGTCACGTTAATGTCACATTGTCAGGCTTTGGGTTTAGGATTCTATATCCCTTACCTTGGTCAATAAAGCCCACCAAAATAGCTTCACTGGCTGTGTTCTCCAACTTGGATTGCTTATTATTTGGAAGCTTTCGATCAATGCCACATTTCAAATGGGGTGCTTTCTACAGCTTTTGAAGGTAGTCTGTTCTATAGGTATGTTGCAGTCATTACTGCTTCTCCCCAGTACTTCTTAGGCAGATTGGCGTCTGACAGCGTGCATCTGGCCATTTTTATAAGAGTGCGATTTTTCCTTTCTGCTACACTGTTTTGTTCAGGAGTGTATGGTGTGGTGAACTTGTGTACTATACCTTGTTTTTTCAGATATGATTCCACTTCCTTACTGTTGTATTCCCCTCTGTTGTCGGTGCGTATCAGTATCATTATTATTATTATTATTATTATTATTATACAGGATTTATATAGCGCCAATAGTTTGCACAGCGCTTTACAATATAAGGAAGACATTACAGTCACAATACAATTCAAGACAAGATGGTAAGGAGAGCCCTGCCCGTGAGGGCTTACAATCTAAAAACATAGGAATTTATAGCTGGACATGGCTACAATCTCTTGAAGTTTTTCTGATGTTTCATTCTTGTGCTTCCTCGGATACGTTGTTGTGTAGCTGTAATAATCATTAATGAAAGTCAGTAGATATCTGTTCCCGCCTGATATGGGAGTTTCTCATTGGTCCGCACACATTGCTATGTATGAGCTCCATGGGGTGGTCTTTCTTTAAGTGGCCTGTGGAAGTGGGGTACATATGGCCTTTGATTCCATACAGCATTCAGATGCCATGAGCATTTGGCATGTCAGTAAGGTTATATCTTCTGATAATCCTCCCTTTATAATGTCTTTTATGGCTTCTGGGTTTTGGTGCCCTAGTCATCTGGCCATAGATGGTGTTAGGATCCAGAGCGCCTCCAGGTGGAGCTAAGCCCTGCAGTTCCTGTGCTCACCTGCAGGTGTCTCCAGGCAGCCAGGAACTGTTAGGTACCAGACCACCACTGGGTGGTGCTGGAACCTACAGCTCCAGTGCTCACCTGCGGGTGTCTCCCAGCTGCCGGCACTTGGCCATCACCTGGTGCTTCCTGGGAGGGTATTTAACCCCCCCTGCAGTCAGGACGATGGCTCAGTATCCTGTTATCATTTCCTGTGTTTCCTGTGAGCCCTGTTACCTGGTTCCTGGTTCCTGTGTTCCTGTGAGCCATGTTACCTGTTTGCAGTCCTGAGCTCTGTTACCTGTTTGCAGTCCTGAGCCCTGTTACCTGTGTGCAGTCCTGAGCCATGTTACCTGTTTGTAGTGCTGATTCCTCCTTGCATGGCATTCACATGTTCACACATTTCCTGGCCTTTTTCTAGCCTTTTCTTATATAGCTTGCGTAGCAGATATAGT